AATAGGCACGTGTAATCGTAGGAGGTAGGTTAAGGGATGCATGAACCAATCCTTTATCGCGATCACTCATAAGAGTTATTCCATCTTGTCTGATCTCTGGAATAGCTACTTGTAAATTCGATAGAAAGTACTCCCATGATGAGGAATTCTCACTCTCAACTATTGCCCAAGCCAGAAGAAGCGTCTTGCCGTTTTCATCAACAGTGACTGCTAACAAGAGTGTTTGAACGAATTTAGTTTTCAGAAAGGTACCATCAACTGCAATAAATTGGCGGCAATGGCGGAAAGAAGAGTGAGATTGTGCAGGGCAAATGAATATACGTTGAGAGCGATGGCTTTCATGGTCGCATGACAGGCGGATATATGCTTCAGGGTTGCTGGATAAAACAGCAGAAACGTATTGTGGAAGCTGACGGAATCCATCTCTTTGCCCTTCAAGCGTATCATCTAAAACACCAGCCTTTAAGCAATTAGCTGCCTTGTATATTAGTGCTTCTCCAAATTGTATGTGCAAGCAGTCCATAATTTCTCGTGGCTTTGTTGCTTGAGTGATATTCAGATGCCTTGGAACATGTTGCCGGAGCCATGATTGAGTACCAGAAATACTAGTTCGCTTTGTTCCATTACCAGGAAGACAAGTATTGTCTTTAACCAAAACCGTGACCTTTATATCTTCCTGACTGGTACGATATGCTCTTACTCGCCACTCACATCCTGCTACAATACAGGTATAAACTGCCCTATTATTGTCTCGTGCACTGACTTTGAAGCTGAACTTCTCCTTTACTGACCAATCCTCGATCGTTTGCTGAAGTTTGACAAAATTGTTGAAAAGCTGACCGAGTGAGGATGCCCCAGGAAGCTGATCAAGGGCGGACATCACAGATGAAATTAGCTGATAGATGTGGTTGAGTCGAATTAGATTGTGGATGCTTTTGTTAGTTCTACTCAGCACCTCCTGCAACTTTAAAGAATTTATCATGGACTGGAAATTTAATCATATTGGTAGATCTAATCTGATTTAACAATTTTTGCATGGTAGTTGAGGGTAGGGTGGTATTTCTGGATATTTTGTCAAAATCGGGTGGTATCTCAGACCTTTACCGTAGATTTTATCGTAAGGAAAGATTTTTTGGAAGAATCAAATCTGGATATACCCTCATCGTAAATACACTGGGATATTTATTTTTATTATTTGAATTTATTATTTTCTTGACACGTGTTACCTCTTGTATATTTTAATGACAGAAGTTATAATGATGTAATTATAGACATTGTAGTTAGTGTTACAATACATTTATCTTAAACCTATACAATATATAAAATAATAGAATCTTAATAAAAATAACTCTTGAACTCAATAGAAGTTAATCCTTATATAATACTACAATCATGTTAATTTTTTATGATTATTTTGTACTTATTTTCATTTTCATAATATATATATTTATATTTCTTTTTAATTTGCTTTTATCTTTCCTCGTTTAGCTGTCATGTCACAGCTCTGTCTCATTGGTATCACCCCCTATTTCTTTCACCCATCCAATTTTTTTTTTTCGGCACAAACAGTACACTTGCCTTGCCGTAACAGTGCTCGAATAGATTTCCTAAGGGTTGCAAAAGAGAAAACTCGCTGGGACAAAGGTTGCGGATCCTATTTTCTTTGAGTTCAAGACAATTCTATCTGAGAGTCTGTTAAGGTAGCTGCTTGC